ATCCTGTGCTGGGAACTCAAAGTGCTACTCACTTACCATGTTCCAGGACCTGCTGGTTTCCACAACACTTTCTCCTGTACGGTTTGATGTTTTGTGCTTATTTCTTCTACATTTCCCCTTGTTAGCATTAGAAAAAGGAGGACGAAAAACATTTATCCCTCCAGATGTAGCTAAATTTAGCAAGATACCTGGGATTGATCTAAATTTATATAGGGCATAATACTATTTATTCCTTTTTGTCAGGATGACACCGTAAACCTTTTTACATATGCTGTCCTAAGGTTAACCCCTCAAGCTCTATCCTCTGGAATTAGTTCCTGGTCCTATCTGCGTAAAGGAAGCACTGCGTGTAATACTTCTGCTGGAGCTGTGATGGCAAATTCTTGTCCAGGTGTAGATCAATATTATAATTCAGGCGATACATCCCCGGTCGGAAATCGCAGTTATCATGTTGTGAGGCCCTTGCAGCATGACAAATGGTCTAAGGGGAAGGATGGTTTTCTTGTTACCGATATTTGGGGTGCTGAGTTTGGTAGTCCAGTTCCAACCAGCCCAACAATTTGGCTTAAACAAACAGAGGAGAGAATGTGTTTATGTGCTTATCAGCTCCGAAGCTTTACTGTGATACTCCTCATTCCAGTCTCATCTGTGCTCAATGGGGAACAAGGGATTGCTATGGTGAAGCAACAAATTCTAGAAAACGTGAGTTTTTGTTTTCTCTGCTTATCTTGGACTGGTCCAATATTGAACTTTCTGGTGCAGTTTTATTCATTCTTTGAGGGTTTTTTATTTGTTGTCCATAATTCACATTGAGATACATCTGAAGAGCTTTATTACAATTTTATCAACAACTTTATAGAACTCAATTATGTCTTTTGGCGTCATTAGATGCATATATTAGAACTGGATAGTGGGCTCCAGATCCAGTAACATAAGTCAAAATGGTTGTAATTTGAACTCGAGACCAAAAACCTCTCAAGGCTTAAACCTCGCCTCAAAAAGGTAAAATGCCTTGGTATGTGATTGAGCCCTTTTAAACTTAGGCGAAAATCATGTACAGGTTGATGTTTTTATGTGGGATGAATGACGATCAGACTTGTAGGTATGGTGGACTCATAGACTAGAATAATAGAAGAAATCCAACTGGGCTGACAGAAAATCGAATTTGGGTTGTCAAAGTTTATGTTTGTTGAGTGGATGGTCGAGATGTGATGGTTTTGAATTTTTTTTTTTTGTCTGAAACACATCCAATATATGATAGTTTTGAATTTCTTTACATTTAAAGCTCGACTTGTCAGTAAAAATGATAAGATATATATCCTCTGGATAATGGCCTAACTCAGGCTTATGCTTCATAGAATGTCATATTTACAATTTTCTTATGTGAAATGATATATTGCAACATGTTGACCAGTTTTATTTTTATTATATTTTCATCCTCATGTTTCATCACTGGTGACTGCCCTCGCTCCATCTTCTACTCCCCTTATCTCAACTATGGAACTTCTGTTGCTACTGCAGTATGATGGCCGTTGAAAAATGTGACCTTTGCTTTGAACCGTCGTGTGCATTTGGAAGATTAGCCTTTATCATAATAATAACTTGTTTATGCTTCAAAAAAAATGCAGCAATGTGTTTTCTCCCTAGTAAATATAACGATGTTGTAGTTGGTTAGTTGTAGCATTTCTGTTTCTGTGCAGACCTCGCATAATAGTCACTATATATTTCAGGCATCGAAAAAGATGTTCAGAGTTGAGGAGAAACTATCAAGAGGATGGGGAGGTGAGAATGCATATCATGTTAGTGGTTATCGTTATTTACTGGTGGATGGTGATAGATGTATATCTCGGGCTTCTCCTCCTGGAAAAGTAACAACTCTGACGAAGGTTATTCCTGTTCCTCCACTAGAGTGATTTGCATTAATCTTGTCCAGTTTAACCTGTGCTATATTTATCCAATGCTTTCATGTAACCACTTATTATTTAGTTTCTTTTATTGTTTGGGAATTGAGTTTACTCCATTTCATTTATGTTTTAAGGTAGGTTTAGTTGAGTTGAAGTAGCATTCTTGTCTTCACATGGATGCAATTCTCCTATCATGATAAATTAGGAAACATTTGAATGAATTTATTGTAGTAAAAAGATTTACAGATTTCCAAGCTCAGACACGTTACTTTTAAAGCCTCAGTATTTCTTGAAATGTCATAACAACTTTATACAGATATATGGTTATTTCATTATCTTGGACCGGTCATAGTCATGGATTTTTTTTTTTTTTTATAAACACCTCAAAGCCTAGGCGGGATTTTAGGTCTCCACCTAGACCCAATGGGGTACCATCATTATTGATACAGGATTGAAATACTAATGGGAGGGGGCGTTATAGCCTTACCTCCAGAAGTATCTGAGGGGAACAAAGGAAGAGGTATGACAAAGGAGCATATGTAAATAATACAACCAAGATTAAAATTTAATTTCTTTAAGAAACTCTAATGTTTGAAAACTCCAATTGGTCAAGTTTGAGCAATCCAGCAATTCTACCCTTCAACTCCTCCCTATCGCACCTTTTCAGCTTGCGAAATTCCTTGGTCGCAAAATAATCCGCAACCAACAGGTCATAGTCGTGGAATTTGAATATCTGTTGTGATGTTGTGGAACAGGATTCCTTAATCGCCTTGAGTAAGCTTCGAGAAGAGGTCGACTCAGAAAAATTTAGAGCTATTTCAGATGGTTTAGGCGATGAGAAGGATCTCGAAGTATGTATTAGAGCTAAAAACAACACTTGGCTTATTGCTCGGCTTAGAAGAGGAAAGGAACTCTATATGGTTCTTGAGAAGGCCAATGAAACACTTCTCTATGCCTCTGATGCTGTCGAGAAGTTTAGTGACAGGTAATATTTTCTACTTTGGTTGACATCAAAGTTATATGCAATTTCCTGAACTGACTGTGTTACACTAGTCAACTACTCACCTCAACAAAACATTGTTCTATGCTGTATCTGACTGTGTTACACTCGTCATTTTCGCTGGCTGTAAATACTGATCTCTACACAACTGATACAGAAGAATGAGCAAAATAAATTGGGAAGTGCTTTGGTGGTTGCTGGCATAAACAAATTACATAATCCAAAAGGGAAGCTGAGTTGCTCATTTGTAATATTGAAATAGAAACTTTACGTGACCATAGAAACTAATGTGCACATTATAGATTAATTTAATTTCCATCTATGAAACTGGAAGTTCATGAGTAAAATTAGGTCATTAGTAAAACTTTTTTGAGACCAGAAATTGTCTTAAAAGGAATAATCTTTGTATTTACTTATCAAGTTCGGAAAATATGATTTTTAAAGAACTTTACATAGTTACAGTGTGTTTGTAGTTTGCTTAGTCATGTTGTCACAATTGTACCCGTCAAGTTGTTTGTGCATTCAAGAAAAGAAAATTCGGATTTGGTTTTCAACGAGCTGATTGTTGGTGTTTTTTATCTGAGTATCACCGAGTTAATTCTGGTACATGACTGTATATGACCGTGCTCACAACAATTCTCTTTGATTGTGCATTATGTAGGTATTGCAATGGAGCTTTTTCTTTGGAATAGGAAAGAATCAAGACCTTGAATCGAAGAAAAATAGGGAAGTTACTCAGAATTTTTTATAAAATATCGACTTGTGGAGATCTGTTCGGAAACCCTTTTACTGTAGATGTTTGTACCATGGAAATAAAAGTAGAAAAAAGAGAAAACTTTGTATAACATAATCTCTCTGTACACTGGAATCAAATAACCTTCCTGATTGCTACTGCTTTTAGCGAATCGATGTGTATTTAACTGCAGTGGCATGTCCATGAATGCAGTCAATGTAATTTAAGCTCTAGCCATGCAAGTTTCATTTTTCAAGCAGTACACATGGTTTGAGGTACAATTTTTTGTACTACATATCTGCTCGTTTTCAAATTCTAATTCACTGTTAAGAGTATGGTAGAGCATTTTTCTGGTCTGAACATTGTTATAATTCACACATTAAGTAAGACTTACAACTTTTATCTACGTATTTTGTTGAACTCATTAAAAAAAAAAATTGCCTCTGATTGGCATCTAAACTATCTGCTGTGTTAGAAAATCATAGTCGTAGTTGTTTAGCTCTAAGCGATTTCTGGTGCTTGCAATCACTTCGTCTACATTTCAACCCAAATAATTGAAAAACAATATTTCCTTGCCCTACTTTAAGCCCTTGTTTGGCCTCTATTTTATTTAAATTTTGAGAAAATATATTTTGGAATAGGAATTTTTTTTTTGAGAAAGTATGATTAAAAAAGAAATAAAAGTTTTGAATTAACGTGTAATATTATTTTATTGAAAAATGTGTAGTTAATAAAAAGGAAAAATGAATTATAATTTTGATAAAGTGCATACAAGGGTTCAGATTGAAAACTCGTTTTCTAAATAAAATGTTACACACTTGAAAGACTCCTTTAACAAAAGCTGGACTTTATTACTTTAATCGGCTATTTATTATTATATATATAATATATTGCCAATGTCAATTTGCTTTCTGGTCATTCGCTCTGTCGATCGATAGCAGTAGTAGTAGAATTGGAGATATCAAAGGTGCAAACGCTCAAAACTAACACGATAAGAACACGAGAAGAAGAAACAAAAAAGAACCGTCCCCACAAACAATACGTGCACGAACACTATTTTTATTGTAATTGTTGTGATAGATGAATTATAATTCATATATAAATAACAGGAACAAACTTGTGAGATATCCTGAACCAAGTCTCTACTACCTCTTGCCCATATGGTTTTTCAATAAAAATAACATAACCATATGGGTACCACCTCTATCCACGAGAATAAAGAACAGAAATCCACTACTCACCATCCCCTGCCCATCCAACAGGGAAAAGTTGCGATGATATACAATTTACAATTTTACCAGACGTCACAGGGCTTGAATACTGAATTCACTGTATAATTAACCTCAACACGAGAGGATAACAGTTAAAGTAGTAACTGTCCGGGACCTCTGCGCAAGGATCTTGATGGAGGCATGCTATTATCCGGCACCAATGAAGGTTGTTTTGGATCATCTGGTCTTCGTACCTCCTGATAAAATCAAAAATTATACAAAGATTAGCATCTTGAATTGATAAATAAAAAATTCGAGCATTAGCTAATCGAAGATCAATTTACTTCTTCTCCATTTTATGCAACAACATACAAAATATTCAACTAATGATTCTTCCTCACTCAGATTCACAAGAATCCAAGCTTGGATTTGACTTGGATGCTAAAAAATTCGAGCATTAGCTAATCGAAGATCAATTTACTTCTCCATTTTATGCAACAACATACAAAATATTCAACTAATGATTCTTCCTCACTCAGATTCACAAGAATCCAAACTTGGATTTGACTTGGATACCATGTTAAGCATGCATAGAAACCCTGTAGTCAAATGCATTATTATACATCATTGATATAAGGGGATCTCAATTGCCTAAACTCAAGTCATTTAACCCTAACTCTCTTCCTCTTCCATTTTATCATCGAGTTAAAATAGCAGTTGAATAAACTAGTCCAAGGTTAATAGGAACTTAAGTAGACACTGGAAAGAACTACAAACCTTTGTCGATGAAGAACTGCGGCGAGACTGTGCCTGCAACTTAGAATGCACATGATGCTGCTGCTGAATGTGCTTAAACTGTTGCAGCCTTGAAATAAAGTTTATTCCATTATGCACATTCGGTGAATCATGAAATGGATCACCATCCTCTGAAATTTGTGATATGCCTGTGTAATTAGCCTCCGAAAGTACACTTTGCTTTAATTGTTCACCACTGAAGGAGTATGAAGGTACAGTTTTTAAACGAGTCCGGAGAATCTTGAAGGCTAGACTTTGCTGCATCATGTAAAAATAAACTAACAGATCTTAATGGCAGCAAATCAACACATACCAATCACATTGATATGAGCACTAACCATAATATATATCTCAACCAGTTATAATAACATTTACTTGTACAACAAATGTTAAAAGCCCTTACGATATAATAATCCCAAGGTTTTATGACTGCCATGTCAGTGGTACAATCATCAAAAGCATGTAATAATAAGTATCCACAGTGTCACAGGTCCTTCCCAAAGGAAGTCCCAATGCTTCTCCACACAATGACCAAGTGCATAGGAAGGAAGACGTGCTGAACATCGTCAAGCATGGAAATGAATTTTCACTTAATTACATCTGAAAACGCTCAAAACTCCTCCAACGAACAATCAAATGACTCAACGTCAATCAACTTAAACTGATGAAAAATTAGCTCAAATATATATGACTTCATGGGCTACTACTTTGATGCATAAATCAAAGTCAATTGCCATGTCTATTGAGTGAATTGACCATGATCTGCTAATTAACTTGTATACTGAAGCAAAGGAAGTGTTTGGATGAGAATTGTTTGAAAAGCCATTCATGTTCAAAGGGCAGACTAACTTCTAGTCAGTTCCATTATTAAAAAGCACATTGAACATGTGTATTTCCATTGTTGAATGAATACGTTGAACTTGACACACTGCATTTTAATGTTTCAAACACATGGGAGGTAGTAATTAAGGCAACTGCATACCTGAGGTAGCAGCATCAGAAGACCATACAAAGCTTTGAGCAACCACATATATCTTTGAGGTTCAAGAAGCTGCAAATGATTTGTCAGAAGATATAGTCAATCAACTAATATTTAACACGACATCAAAACTATAAGTGGTGATGAAGTGATTGATCATTTTTTAGAACTAGTGAATACGTCTCCTAGCAGATGGGGATAAAAACCAAGAATCACTAGTTTAATCCTCAAACCCTTGCCATATCTCCCACGCCCTAGGGATGGCCATCAAATATGTTCAATCATGTTCAGATGTAAAGATGAGATTATTCAAGTCCTCAGTCCACTGCTCTTAACATTTGAGTGAAGTAACATAATTTAGGAAGCATGGTTATGAATGCACCGACATGTAGTTTCAATGCACGCGCGAGCGCACACACACACATATATCACAAACCCGTAAACATCATGCAAAGGTGGTTTATGTACTTGTGCATACAGAGAGGTACATCAAAGAATACATATTGTATGAGCAATTACATACGTAGAAGATACAAGACATCTACATATTTACATATGCACGTGTTTGTTACAAGGTACACACACACGCACACACACATATATATCACAAACACCCATAAACATCATGCAAAGGTGGTTTATGTACTTGTGCATACAGAGAAGTACATCAAAGAATACTTATTGTATGAGCAATTACATACGTAGAAGATACAAGACATCTACATATTTACATATGCACGTGTTTGTTACAAGGTTATTAGCTTGCATGCATCTAAAGACACTAAATAAAAAAATTAATCACAAAGCATTGGTTTTATAAACTACCCAAGATGGACATATGTTCGTCAACACCACATACACTTTAGAAATTACTATTACCTGTAACCTAAGGTACGCAAATGTAGGAGTCTCGACAAGGTGGATCAGTTTGTCCAACTGGACCAAAAACTTAACATTAATATCTTCCTCAACCAGTGATTGGATAATGGAACTAGCGTGCTCATAAGTCTGCAACATAATCCGAGTAAGAGGTAGCATATCCTAAGTTTTATCACTAACAAGTGGTGGAGAACAGGAGATGTGGTGGCTGAAATTTTTTTGACAATGAAATAAAAAGCATTTAACTTGAGCTTACTTGAGCTAATAGGCAAAGGCTTATTATAGCCCCTGGAGAATGGCACCATGAAGCATATAATGAAAGAAATAATTTCTTGCCAGCATCATTGAACATTGATTGTTTCAGGAGGCCACGCAGGTCAGACAACTCAGTTGAAGTGAGCAAAATTAAGTTCAATGCCTGAAATAAAGAAGAGAATGTGCAAATATGGTTCATCACATGCACAACATATAATTTCTTACCTACAGGATTGTACAAATAATGGCTGGAAACCAAGGCTGTGCAAAATTTTAACAATTCTCATCTCGTTATAAAATGTGAAACATGAGAGTTTTCCTGTTTAGAATAATGCAATAACCTGAACCATAATAGATGCAAAATCCAAATCAGATTCTTCTTCCAGAATTGTGGAAAGCTTCCGATAAACTGTTTCAGCATCCAACAGTACACAAAGTCGGCGGATTATTAGAGCACCACGTCTGTGAGAGAATTGAAGAATATTATTCAATCCACTATACAAGTATATCTAACAAAATTATTTCACGACAAATCATCAGGGACAAGAAACTACTTTTCCAGCAGAGAGTTGTCCACCCGAAAATTCTGAATTAAATAAACAATCAGATGGTGGAAATGCTCGTCATCTTTGGCTATGCATGCATGGACATCAAGTACCAGAAGCACTACCTGGGAGGAAAAGTAAAACGAGAAAAAGATTATGAAGGATAAGGCATCTTGCACTTCTCATTTTTATCCACTTTTCTGCCCCTCCTACCAGATAACGAACTAGTGAAGAAAATCAGTATGAAAGAAGGATATCCTGGCATCAACAAGAATTTACACAAGACTGAAGGTTAGCCATACCCAATTGCTAATTATCACTTTTTTTCAGGGGGTGGAGACCATTCATATTACACTCCTAAATCATTATTTTGGGGTGCCTGATATCAATAAACATCTCAGTCTAATATTATGTGGAGTGTGAGCTATCAAAAGCCAGTCCGAGATTCTCACAAGACAGATCCCCTTTAATTGTTAGAGACACTTGACAAGAACAATATTGCAGGAAGAAGGCAGACAGAGCATGTTCTAATTCTGACTATCCATGCAAGCAAATAGACAGCGTCATCATTTTAGCCTGGACATGGGAAGAAATGCTAATAACACTACAGCCAGACTAGAAGGAGGGCATTTTATCAGCTACTCTTTCATCTCCAAAGCAGATGGGAAAGAACCAATCATTTACTCTTGACTCTATCCATTCCATAGCTGTGCAGGCCTTGAGGAATCATTGCTGGTAATGTTTATGATACAGCAGGTTGACTTCAAGAAATTGAGAGGATGATATGCTATATATTGATTTTTGGTCCTCTTACTGTTAGTGCACTGTTTGCAAGAAAGACCTAATAAAGCCTATAAGAGTATCAAGAATTTAACATGGAACCGGTGTGCTTTTCTTCAATGTTGTGTACAATTAATAAATCCTTACTTCATACGTACCTGGACGAATTATTTCCAGATTCTAGACCTTGCAGCCTTAACAATGAAGAAAATTATTTATTCTTCCGTATCCTTAACTTCTTCTTAATTGAGTGTAAAGTACATGTAAATGGGTTCCTCTTATCTTTGTTCTCCAAATAAGAAAAAGCAGGGCAATACTCATATCACTGAAAGCCATTACATGGTTTGAGTCCTCTAAAAGATTTGGTTTTATTTCATCTCCTTTAGCAAGAAAGAGGAATGAGAACATAGAAGAGAAGATGACGACCAAGACGAAAAGGACAATGAAGACAAATTACCAGCATCATTTTGAATCAAATAAACAAATTTGTCTCCAAAAGGACATCCCCCAACCAAACTGTTAGGCATAAGCTTTGACTAATTAGTATAAAATGCAAACAAACTCAATTTAACTGATACAAAAATCTGTAGACGAAATGAACAATCACAAAATAATATAAAATTAAATTGAAAATAAGCAAGTCATGAAATGACAGAGAAGGTAGCAGAAGATGATACCTCATCAGAAGGATCAGAAAGTGCCTTCAGAAGGGTGTCGAAAATGTCATTGCGAAAAGACAGAACCTGTTTTTGTGAAAGTAGTAAATGATTTCTAGTTCATGAAAGCAAGGTCTCACCAAATTTTCAACATTAGGAACATAAAAGTTCAACAATGGCAATAATGAGACAATAAGAAATAGCAAGTCTCTAACAAGGTATCTATCAGACACTGCAAAAGTACAAAAATGAAACCAGCATATACGGAGGATGCTGATATACCATGTAGAAGATAAGATTTATATCATTAACGAAATTCATACAGGTCAATTACAAATACACCCAAGGTCTCGTAAAGGAGGTAGCCCACGATATGAGCAGGGGGGGAACTATTATAGGTCCAGTAGGGACAATTTCCCCAGTGAGCTCGGGCTTGGGACATTAGTCTTTTTCCACTGGAAAATTTTGGGATGTGATCTAGTGAATTGCTTGTAGAATTGGAATTTTGTACTTAGCCAGTGAGATAGCTACAGCATTTCCATTTTTTATTTTATTTTGTTTGCATCATTACAGCATGTCTTCAACGGTCTTAGTGTCCTTTACATTTCACTATTAATAATTTATTTTGGCTAGAGTATTTTACTTTTTTTATAAAATGAAAAAAAATCGCTTTGCTATTTTATTTACAGTGATGATTGATGAACTAAATGCAAAATTAGCAAATTTGGAATTTACCAGACTCTAAATTGGAAATTAAAGACATATTTGGTATATAGTACAAGATGCAAGCGGACAACATACTTGAAAAGATTTTAGAATCATTTTTTCACAAAGATTGTCAAGTATTGTATAGTTCATTTACCAAACGAGACGTATTTTACCTAAATTAGACAAAATAAGTAAATGATTAGTTATAAATTTTGTTAATTGCTATGTTCAATCCAACTAACTAGACCATAGACATTGCATTTTTTACTAGATTGCACATGTATTAAAGAACGTGAGGATTCATTCTAAAAGGAAATATATCAATTTCAGTTTCATATACCTAGCATCAAATAAAGAGTACATGAAACTAATCCTCAAATAGGACAATTTAACAGTTTAAAGGGAAACAAGGAATGTGCCATGGAATATATATTCGAATCTCGTTTTCGCATACTTAAGTCTTGCCGCCACTGAACCAAAATTCTGGCTCCACGCCTGGATATGAGCAATGTAGAGGATCCGCAAGGAGTCTTTCAACATAAAGATTTGTCCCAACACATAGGCCGAACTAGAAAGCTCACTGCAAATTGACTACAAATCTAAGGACTGCCCACAAACTGATTAGATAAAAGGTGATTTATGGACTTTAACATATATCTAGATTCATACTTGCTAAAAGTTAGGATTGAATTGTTAGTTGGATTATTTAAGGGTCGTAGTCGTTGGATTACAAGTTGGGCACCAATAATCTAGTAACACTAGCACATGACGTCTTTCTCTTAAAAAGATGATGAGTTTTATATCATATATGAGATGTCAAAGTAATCTTCCAGGTATTTGTTGGAGCACAAGCTAAAATTGAACTGACTCCACAATGGGACAATCCACAATGGGAGTTCAAGTCGTTGTCAATGACTTGTCCTATTCTTAGGTTACATGATCTTTAGATCAGAGGAACCATATTGTATTGTGTATGAGTTACTAGGGTACATTATGGCATATCGACGTTGTCCTAACCAGAGGTTTAATCCATGATAACGAACAAGGAGAATGTCCAATGAAATCTAAAAGTGAATACGGGGTTGAGAGTCCTTGGCCAAGGTAGAAGGAAAATCAGAAAGAATTTTATCAAAGCACGCATCACTTGATTGCTCATATAATTGAAGACCAGATAAGTCTGGTTGCAAACAACTGCCTTAGAATGGGGCCAACCTCTGATACTCGGACTCTTCGAAATAGTTGAAATACCCGTGTCGAACACGACACGACACGACACGACACGGGTATGGGATATGTGTCAAATCCTCCAAATTTCAACTGGACACTTTGTCGTTTTTGTTTCTTCTTCTTCCTTCTTTTTTTTTTCTTTTTCTTTTCCTTTTCTTTCTCTTTTCTTCTTTCCTACTTTTGCTCTCTATAAACATAATGTCGTCGCCGAGAGGGTGAAGAAAGGCGGCGGCGCTAGGTTTTACCTTCTTTTTCTTCTTTCTTTTTTCCTTTCCATTTTCTTCTCTTTTTTTTTTCTCTTCTCTCTCTTTGTATCGGTGGTTTAGGGTTTTATTTATATAAAATAAAAATGAGTTCCATACAGTGCTACTCAATGCTCCACTAAGTCAAATTACAATCAAATTCCTCATTTTCTATTTTATATAACATTTAGTAATTCCCAATAATTGAAAACTAAACCCCAAAATTCTATGTTATTCGCCTTTACGAGGGGTTGCTCAATTGGTCAAGTCTTGGGTTTGCTCCCCATTGATCACCAATTCGAGTCCCCCTATGGCCACTGAGGTGAGTACCCGGCCACAAACTTCAGGGCCCCGTGGGATTAGTCGAGGTGCGCGCAAGCTGGCTCAGACATCCACGATTATCAAAAAATTAAATACTCATTTCCTTCATTGTGAATAATTAATTTTAGTCTATTCAAAAATGACATCCTGGATTAGTAAAAAAAATTGAATTTTGAAAGACGTACCCACGTACCTGTGTCTGAAATTTGGACTTTTTTTAGCCATGCCCCCGTATCCTATATTTCAGAAAATAAAATATCCGACACATAGATACGTACCCGTACCCAATACAGATACTCGAGTCCAAGCATCGTAGGGGCACACTACCAAGCCCTGAGACAACAAGACTAGAATGGGCAGGGCCCACTACCAAGCCCTTGAGACAACAAGACTCTAGGACCAATAGGTCCTTCAGCACCAACAGGAGAGGCCCAAAAACTACTAGTCATGATTGGCAAGATATAAATGCTGAGGAGAAATAGAAAATACAATGTAGAAACACATGGTGAATAGATTTAATCTTCCTTGCTCGTTAAGAGTTGGAAGTTCAAAAGGTTGAAATTTATTAAGGCATCAGTGCAGGCAACAGAAACAAGTACGAGGAATAAAAACAATCAACTCTCTCAGTTCTCTCGCTAAACCTACTGTGGAGTACGATAGGTCTTTCCAATTAATTAGAAATTTTAATGCTTTTAGCTAGTGTAGCTGACCAATACGAGAACATTAAAGTGCAACAGAAGCAGTTATAAAAATCGACAAAAAATAATGTAAAACGTCTAAACAATTGGAGAAGGAAGATTTCCAAAAATAGCAAAAGAGTCAAAATTTGTATGATATCCTCATTACCTCCGTTCGATGTCTATTTAGAAGGGTTAATATCCAGTTCAGTGCTTCGATACGTGTTGTCTCTAATTCACTAGACAAATGCCTGAAACATGAAAGTAAATTCTAAATTTGGCGGATTACATTTACTCTCTTGAGGCATTTCAAAACATATATCTTATCTTAAAAGGAGAAAAAAAAATTATTCTACGCAGCTTCTTTTGTCACTTTCTAAAAGGAACAGCATGTTATTGAAACAAATGAATGGCAGATTTGCAATTGACCAAATAATTGAGTATTTTACAGGGTAAGAGAAAGATACCTCCTTGCTACCGAGAGGATTGCACCTACATCAAATCCTTCTCTTGGATCAGTCTTGATTCCACGAATTTCATCATTTGTCTCACGAGCAACCTAATAACAAAATTTAACCACGGAGCAATTGTAAAGCATTGAAGTCAAGCAGTTATTTACTTCAGGAAAGAATATAATTTAACAACTAAGAGAGGTGGTGAACAAAGGTGGACGGTTTCTTAAAATTGGATAAGTTCAATAAATCATAGACAACAGTAAAAATGAGGAATTAAAGAAGCAATGAAATAGGATGTTGAAAGGAAGATTTTAAAAATGAAAACTTACAGCTCTTATTTTCTCTTCTTTGTCTGACGTGCAAGGTAGAATGGCCCCAAGAATATCAGCATAATAAGGAACAAGTTGATCCCCACCAAGTTTGACAAACTCATTAATCTGCAGAGCAGAGCAGTGTATTGAAACTCATTTGAACAAATTTAAACAAACTGGAAATATCTTGTACACAAAAATCTGCCCAGCAATTGGAATAAGCAATTTGCAATAGCAATTGGGTCTTTCAATGTTCTTACCCAAGTAATAGCAGTCAATCGAGTAAATTCATCCGGCGACACTGCCCTCTGGACCAGTATTTCAGTCATGCGACCATAATCTACAGACTGAAAGAGTAGCACTGCCCAAGTCAGGAATTAAAAATGAAAGTAAAATTTGTGTGATTGTTAAAATAAACTTGTACTCATGTGACTTAGTATGAACATAGCTAGCAATAGAATTCTAGAAGACGTGAGAGAGAGAGAGGGAGGGGGGGGGGGGGGGGGGGGGGGGGGGGGGGGGGGGGGGGGGGGGGGGGGGGGGGGGGGGGGGGGGGGG